GGGAACTTCCTAACCAGCCAGAGCTGCCCCCTGTCTGTTCCCCAAGACATCTGTAAAAAACAGAGCAGTCCGAGCTCAGTGTGGTACAGGAAACTGATTCAGATGACTATAGGATCACAGTTTCACCAAGTAGGCCTCTAGATGCAAGGAGAACTCACTTGTTGAAGATTAACTCTGCGTAACACATCAGTCCAGGGACTTTCAATGTATCTCATCAAAAGCTATTTATGTTCTCCAGAGCCAGAATTTGAGCTCCAATATCTGATAATAATACATCACTTTGGCCAGATTCCCCACCCTATATTGTTAGCTGTTAACTGGGTGGTAATAAATCAGTCTCTGAGCCTCTTTAGAACTTTCTTTATAAAACAGGAATAAAAATCTCTACCATACTTAGTTCAAAAGGCTGTTTACAGCCTACAAAAGATAATTTTATAAAAATATGTTGTAAATGCAAATGCTCTAAACATCTATGTAGAATTTTATATTCATTAAAACATTGCCTGAATTTTAATTTTCCCTTTCTGATTGTTCACCTATCTATTTAACTTGAAGCCTTCTGTTAATGTGAACAAGAGAAGAAAACTACAAATTTAACCAAGCAATGTCATTTGCACAGAATATATTTGATAAGGTTGAAGGGAACAAGATGGAAGATAAAATATCAAACACTTCCACTTTATACAGGAACCACACTAAACACTGTCGTCATTCACCCAACACATTCGTTTAAGAAATATGTCTTTATTGTGCCAGGATCACAGTTATAGACCCTAAGAACACATCAGTGAACAGCCAATTCCCTGCACTCATGAAACATACATACTAGGGCAAGGAGGCCAATGACAAACAAGTAAATAGATAAGAAGGCAAGGAGTAACTACTTTGAAAAAATAATTATGGCAAGATAAGGGAGGTCAGAAAAAGTCCTTCTCAGTAGAGAGCTGGTTGAATGACTAAATGACATCTAATTCTTAAATTAACCTTGCAAGATAAACATTTCTGTTTTTACAGGCCAAATTTTGCAAGCTCTGTGCCTTTTGAAGAGTTAGTCATCCTCTCTGAACCTTCACTGCCTTATTAGAAAATCCCATTGCTGTTGTCACATTACAGAAAGAGCGTAGTGCCCAGCATGAAGCAGTCGGGCAGGAGACCACATCTCTGTGAGGACAGGGACTGTTTTCAGCCTGGCACCTAGCACAGAACCTTCACGTGAGAAGTTCTCAGTAGATATTGGTTAGATGGATGAAAATGAACAAACTTCCAATCATGAACTCAATCTTGAAAAATGAATAGTTGTTTAATGAGAAAAAAGACCCAGAGTTTCTCCAGTTCAATTTCTGACCACACGAGACTTTTTTGTTTGGTCTTCCAAGTTCTATTTTGCCTCTGCTCTTCACTATCATCACCAAGACCTGCAACTTGACAAGGAAGAGGACATTTCAGGATACTTACACTAAATATAGACCCTAAAGCATGTGGACAGAATAATAACCATTGCAAAATGATTGGACCAGTGACTGAGACACAAGTTGTGGTCTATAATAACGGAGGGGAGAATGCTCAGTTAAAAATTTGAACCTATCCCTGGAAACCATTTTTATATACATAAACCTTCATGAAAAGAACATTCTCATTTGATTTTTTAAGAACGATGCCAGCGTTTAGGCTTTTGTTCTTATTTCTTTATATTTCATCATATTGTCTTCTCAGCTTCCTGTTAAAAACAAGTTTCTTCTGTTAGCTAGATAACTTTGCAAGTGGAACTACAACTTCAATATGTTAAGTCAAGTGAAATCATGTGAGGAAAAGGGTAAAGCAACATAATCAAAATTTTGACCAGGGGAAAGTTGTCTTATAAATTAAACAATGACTTGGCCTCAATTGAGATAAAGAGGAAATTTCACTTTTGTTGCCAATGTTTGGATAATTATGTTTTTAGGGCAAACAGGTTACCTTTTCATTACCATCTCATTTCCAAGAGTTGATTCTTATTAATTTTGTATGTTTATATTGAGATAATCCTCCCAGAGGCAAATTTTTATCCTAGGTTGTTGACAGCTGTCTTGCACTAAATCACTGATCACCCTCCTATTTATTGAGCCCTGGCTGTGTACCGAGCCCTGTGCTCCACAATGAGAGTAAAATGCTGAGCCAGTTAGACCCCCAATGGGTGACAGTGACCCAAACAGGCAGTCTCAAAGTTAGACAAAGGGCTAAGATGGAAGTGAGCACAGGGGACAAAGAGCACACTGAGCAGAGTCACCAAGCCCAACCAGCAGTGGCTTTTGAGAAGGCTTCTAGAGGGAGCCATGAAAAGCAGTCTTCTACATCAGTAACACTGTATTACAGTCAGAGGTTGTCAGCAAGGGGGTTTTGTCCCCACACCTCCAAAGCACCTTTGGCAAATTCTGGAGGCATTTTCAGTTGTCACACAATTAAGAGAATGGTACTGATATCTAATGGGCAGAAGACAAGATGCTAAATATCGTACAACAGATGTACAGTCCCCACAGCAATGATCTGATCTTAAATCTAAAAATCCTGTGATAAGAGGTACCTGTATGCATGTCTAAGTCCTCCCTAAGAATCCAAGCTTATTCCTCTTTGCTCCCTCACGATAGCATTTCTGCAGGTTTGTGGTAGACACTCATAAATATTTATTTGCCGGAGAATGGGAGTAGCACCAGGGAAGGAGCAGAGAAGGCTTCTGGGCCTGGAATCCAGTACTAATGCCATCAGAGGCTCCCTGTTGCTGGAAAGACACCAAAAGCTCTCACTAAAATCAGATCCAGTATACACATACAGCAGAATATGGCTGCTAAAGGAAAAAGGCAAGAGCCCTGAGGAAGCACCATCCCTAAACCCTAAGTAGGCAGGGCCAACCTAAGACAGAAACAACAAATCCCTCTCCTGCCTCCATGACCAAGCTAGCAGTGGAGGAACGGGCAAGAGCATTGAGCGTACAAGAACTTTGAAAAATGCCCCAGAACCTAGTCCCTACGAGTTAACCTGGAGGAACTGGGAGATAATTGTGCAATGCAGAAAACCATAGCGACAATAAATCCAATCAACACTTAAGTCCTCACTTAAATCCTCACTAACCAACAGAAGGACCAGGAGCCCTCTAGGCAAAAATACTATACTCCCATATTCCACAGAGAATAAGAGGGAGGGGGATCAATGAATCTCCCACCTACCTTGGGCAGCACGACTAGGTGCCAATGAAAAGTAATATTAAGACACCAATATTGACCTAGGCCTAAAGGCTCTCAAAGACATGGGGCACCTTTATATCTTTATCATCTTCTTCATTCTCGTGTATTTAAATTGTATAGCCTTTAATGGCTCACTAATGCATTTCAACATAGTACTGACACAATTATTCAGAGTGATTAGTGATGCCCCAAGCTCCAGAGACATAGTGTGGTGTGTCTCACGTTATTCCTCCATCCTCAAGAGACATCAGTACTTTCGTTACCTCCATTTCACTGAGGAGAACACTGAGCTTCACAAGGTTGAATAACTGCTATGTTCTCATAGCCAGCATGTAACAGAAGTGGAACTTTAACCCAGGTTTTCCCATGAGGCCGTACTCTGTCTACTTGACCGTTTTCATGTGTCTGATCATATACATTGATCTTGAAGATAACTCCGTGATATAAACTGACTATTTCCCCTACCATGAAGATGAAACATTGAAGCACATCATATGCTAAATGCCTTTTCCAAAAGTCACAACATAGACAGGATTAGATCTTAAACCTAAGTGGTTTTAGGCCAAATACCACCCAAATATCAGGCTACTGCACCTCTCACTGGCGGAAGCTTACGTAGAGACACACATGTACATGTATTTGTTGACTACCAGCCATATACGCATGTCCACCCAGGCTTGCCAGTCTCTGAGAATGGTGGTTCAAAAGACATACCCCTTTAACCTTGAGACTCCATCCATAGAAAGTGTCAAGACGTTATATGGCATCATAGTTATAATTTAAGAGATAATAATGCCACATTGTCTTCTACAGGTGAGCAAACCCACCTCCAAGGAACTCAGAAGCCAACACACTAAAGGTAAGTCATTTCACAAAAAGTTTTAGACTTTATAAAAACGTCTGCTTTGCTTCTAAGATCCTCTCATGTTTTTGTTTGTGGTCACGGGTCATCTTAAATAAGGTGACCTATTGATTATCCTTCAGAAAATAAATGTCTAGTTTTAGAAAGATACTCATACACCTTATGCCTTTCTGTTGCCTTACTCTATTGACAAGGAAATTGATTGTGATAACTCACATTCTGTGCTGTGCAACTTTGGAAAAGAATTGTTTGGAAACATGTGGATTGCATTAAACATAGAGCTATGTTATTTCTTTAAGCATACCTCCAGGAAAATCACAAGATAGAAATATAATTTTATAACAGTGACTAATTAATATTTTTTTTAAAAGTAGATTTTAAAGCTTTAGGCAAAACAACTCAATTTAAAGATGAAAATACAGGTACAAGCCTGAAAGGAAATAGTCAATTTCCATGGTGCTAGAAGCACAAATGGAGGACACTCTAAGAAATTTAATTGGATCCTATCTATTACAGCTTCTCTCATCATTCCCCCTGTGCCCCATCTCCTCTTTCAAAGTCCAACTGGAAGAGATGACACTGCTATGATTTATATGTCCTCATAATTGAAAACTACCGAGTCACTTTTATGTGTCCAGTGCTACACTTTGTAACGTCTTACTAGTACCACCTTTCCCACTGGAAAGCACAATGTTAGGGACCCCACAGGAAACAGATGGCACCTCATAATAGGGTACTCTAAGGATGTTTGCTTCAGGGACTGTTCCCAAGGAGTGTGGGGTGGAGGTGACAACAAAGAATGGTGCAGGAACCTAGCTAAGAGCAGGGAAGCTGTCAGCACCTGCAGGCCCACAGGGATGAAGGGACAGTTCCTGGATGCCACCAGGAGCACACCTCCTTGGGAGGAGCATCACCGCTGGTTGGGGGACAGGAGCAGTCTCCATGGGGACCACCCATAAGGATGCACCTCACTTCTCTTTTTACCTCCCTCTGACCTCTTATTGGGACTTTCCCAATGGCCGAGAAGGCAAGGCACCCCAGATGTTGTCTGAACTAGTCTGTCTCCCAGGCAGAGAGCAGGGTAGGGCAGAGTGAAGGTGAGGGTGGACCTAGAGGGTCAGGCGACAGATGCCCGCAGCAAGAAACAGAGCGGAAAGAGTCATGTTGGCAGATGACTTGAAGTAAGGCACCTGGACTCCCCGAGTCATACTTTCCTCTTCCTGAAAATGTGGAGCGATTAGGGCTCCCACAACCATCGCTTCAGTTGCTTTAGTGGTGAGAGAAAGGATCCTGCAATGGAGGGAACGATGTCATCCTCCAGTTCTGGGCTCATCGGCATCCTCGCGGCCTCACAGATCCGTTGTCTTCTAGCCCACCCCTGAATCCCAGGTTGGAGGGGAGCTGTCGTGTCTGTGTCCCTGCAGTCCTTTAAAATGGCAGCACCCTCGATGCACATAGCACTTCACTCCCAGATCTTCTTCTCCGTTACCTGAGGTACTGTCATTCTTAGACACAGGTTGATTATGCAGAGGGAGTATTTTCACTCCTCTTAACAGAAGAAGGGACCACAAGCACAGAGAGATTCCAGGCCAGACCACAATCATACGATACACAAATGTCCTAGGTATAATATGTGTCCCTAAGGAATGAGTCTTGGGGACAGACCAGACTAGAAACGATTTCACAACTGCTGCGTTTTTATAATTTACTATGGACCTTCATCCTCCCTTCACAACTGCTGTCTTTTTTATAATTTACTATGGACCTTCATCCTCACATCCTCGGCCACACGAGCTTTCTTCTTTAGTTTATTCCTCACAACCAGTGTGTCCATTTGTACAGTCGTACACTGAGCTATGCTTTTCCTCAGTTCACAAAACACTAGAGTATTTAACCAAAACTTGAAAAGTGAAATAGATGAAAATATAGATAGATGATATGACTGTGATAATGATAAAATTTAGGAGATTCAGAAACACGGCATGAAAATCAATTAAAATTAAACTCTAAATGTGCCTCTGAGCTTCCTGATAGTCTAAGCAAGAAGGACATCAAGCTCCTTTGTATAGTACTTACCTCCCATAGCTAGACAGCAACCGATTCTTCAGAGAAAGCAGCAGGGTATTTCTTTCAGGGTTAGGTTAGTGCTGTCTGTTTTAAAGGAGACATTCACTGATCTATTGGTACCATAGTTACCCAAATATGACTGCTATTAAAAGCAGACCTCAGCATGAACTGCGGCCATAGCGGCACAGAGAACCTGACCGGAAGCAGGCACACAGAAGCTGAGGCTTGCTGGGAGGAAGGGCAGGTTGTGTGTCAAACCTCTTCCTAACAGTTGTTTTCTTTACATCTTCCTTTCCTACTCTTTCATAATTGATGATTCTCCACTACCACCCAGAGCTCTAAGGTATTCTACAGAGAAAGGAGCTGGAAACGGGGAAATTAATATGAATTCCCCCCATCTTTAGGATCAGGCATCTTGCTGGAAAAATGCTTGGATGATTTATGTGTTTATTACAAAATTCTGTGTTTTTGATGCAAACACATTCTCAGATAATTTATTCATTCTCACAAAATGTCATAGAAAAAAACATATCAGTTGGCTCGGTAATGGCAGAATTTTATGGTGATATTTTTCATCAAGTTGAGCAGTTATAGATTTATGTTAATGTACATTTTATGTCATTTCTCTTGCAATCATATTCTGACACTATCTGGAAACTGTCAGATTTCAAGAACTTATCTTCCCTGAAGCTTGACTTTTCCTTTTTTCCCATTGCTAAAAATGGGTAAAAGTTTATTTGGAGGCAAAGTATTTACAGTATAAGTTGTTTATGATGAACCACTAGCATTAACCACAGATCCAGAAGAAATCACCTCATTTTCAGAAGGGATAACTCTAATTTTCAAATATAATGTAGCTTAGCTTCCTAGAGAAACTAAAGCTGAGAATCAAAGAGGGTAAAATGCATTTCTCTTTGCCCCAGATGGGAACCAAGCACAAACTCTAAACCAATTTTCTTTGAAGTGACAAGCATACCATATACAAGAGTGAATTTATAAAGAAATGCAATAAACCATTCAAGAAAAGAAAAAGAGAATTATGCATGGAAGACCGAACATGTATATCCAGAAACATGAGCTTGGTTGAAAAAAGCAAAATAGAATTTCGCAAAATGCCATCAAAAGACCTTTGTACTAGTTTGCTTTCAGACAAATTTAGGTGCTCAAGAAATTCGAATCACGGATGAGTTTAGAGCTCACCTGGTTCCACTCCCTCCTTTTGGTGAAGGAAGTTGAGTAAGAGAAGTGGTTTGTTCAAGGTTGCCTAGCAAATAGTCAGAGAAAGGCCAGAGCCAGAGCCAGTGTTTATTCAGCTAGGGCCATGTTTCCAGGGCTTCACTGTATTCACTAGTGTGTAAAATTCAGTCTGCAAACTCCCTCCGTGTTCCCTAACTGTATCTCACTCATCCAAGCCATGCAGTTCGGTGCCAAAGACATAAACTGGTAGGTGATACTGCCCCCTAGTGGCATAGTATGGCAACACAAAACATCAGGAGAAAATTTGGTAGTCTACAGATTTTATCCCGAATAAAAATAATAAGCCTTAGGTCACAAAGTTGATTAGATAAAAATGTAAGATTAGAATACGATCATTGTAGATTTAAAGTTATTTCAGCCACAAATCCATGGCTCAAAAGCAACAGAGGCATTGATAATGTTAATGTATAAACCTTGTGAAATCACTTGATAGGATCACACTGAAGTATTTCGTCTCACTATCACACAGGAAAAAAACTAAGGCTCAGAGTAAAGAAATAGTGTTTGATATAGACTCGAGATGGTAAGGGGTCTTCAAAAGGTTCATGGAAAATGCATGTTTATTCCAAAAAAAGCATGAATTTTCATTTTTGGCACCAAAATAAACTTGTACTTTAATTTCATTTTTCCACAAACTTTCTGAAGTTCTCTTGTACATCTTCAATAGAGAAATATAAAGTAGCCACAATTATGAAAAATATTAGTAACTAGTTACTCCATAAAAGCTCAAGAAAATTCATATTCCCTAATAATAACCCCAGCGAAGACATAATTTTCTAAGAGAATTTTAAAGCCTGTCTTGATATAAACAAATGTGCTTCTCCTAACAAAACCATTTCAAAATCACTTAAAATATATGTGTAATTAAAGCACTTTTATTTGTTTCTTTGCAAATTTGGAATCGTAACAAAGATCAAGAACCACAGTATTCTTGGGACCAGCACTTAACATAATGGCTATGTAGCAGAATTTCCTTGTAGCCGATCGCGGTTCAAGTCCTGGACCCAGTGGCTTAAAACACACCAGGCGCATGTGCGTGCGTGCCCAAGATCCCGGGAGGACAAGGGATTGTGGCATGGCCATCCCCCCTGGGGGGTGATTTCTCATTTTCTATCTCTCTGTCTGGCGAATGCCTGCGCCCTATAGCAAAAACCTCTACCCCCCCCCAAAAAAAAAGGATCACAGTATTCTCTAAAACAAGGGGTTCCTAAGAAGTAGGACTTTCAGAACTAGAACCAGAGGAGTTACAGGAAAACTGAGACAAGTTGGTGACCCTCGATGTGGCCTCCAATCTGCATGTCACATGGACATGCTAGAAGACTAGAAGGATTAGTTTATTTATGTAATTGCCTGAGGGCAAGTGAGCTCACTCAAGACAAAGAAACAGAAGGAGAAAGCCAGTGGAGAGCAGTCTCACCACACTTTCCTCTCCATTTCTCCATCCAGTTGAGATTTGCACACTTACGCAACCAGAGTGTCTTCAGGCTGCCAGAGCAGACATTCAAACGGCAATCACCCAGGTGAGGTGCAGCTCCTAGGTACAGCTAGGTTATGGGGCCAGCCCGATATTTTATTTAATCAAGAGTTTTGAAATAGCAGAATCTGCTTCTTTCAGCCCCTTCTTGTAACCGAGACACAGGCAGCAACCCTCGTGGATATGTGAGCTGTCCGAG